CCCCAAAACCCCAAAACCCCATATATCAGGAAGGTAATGTAATTAGAAATAAGACAAATAAAGTATTAAAGATATATTATAAAATAATTCATATATAATTTCTAAGTAATTAATCACTGTACTATTATTATGAAAAAATTAAGCAAATTTATCAGAAACTTTGATCTTTTCGCCTAACCCATTTATATTACTTACAAGAATGACAGTAATTATAGAACAGTTATGGGTGGGCTAACTGCCTTAGTATTTGGATTCTTCTTGATATGGTACATTATAAACGAAATCATAGTAATGGCAAAAGGAGGTTATTCAATCTAAAATTAAACTAATTTTATCGATACTGAAGCTGATCCATAATCCTATGTAATTAATGCTCAAAAGCTAAACATTGCAGTAAGGCTTGGATCATTAGGGAAAATTATCAAAAACAATGATAGTGATATAACTAGATATGTGAGGCCATAATTTTTATATGATATGAATGATGATACTGATAGTTTCAATAAGGGACAGCAAAATAGCCGACAAATAAGTGTTGTAAAATGTGATGAGGTAATGTTTCCATGGTTTGAAAAAAGATCTGATATCAATAATTACTATTGCCCAGAACTCAATTCTTTTGAAATATATGGCTAAGAATCAAGCGTAAGAAGCAAATAATTACTATTTGTGTTGCAAAAGTGCTCGATGGTAGCAGCTAATCCGACTACCGAATGTGAATAAAACCCAATGTATGAGCAAATGATTTCCCATATTTATGCGGACGTAGCGATAATGACTGAATACTTCGATTCTAAAGACTTTAAAGTTGATAGACCTTTCAAGAAATACTTTTCTTAACAACGAAGATACTTAGTTGAAGATAACAAATAACTTAACTCCTATAGCATTAAATAAAATGCGGTTTCAATCTAAGATTAGCTCATTAGTTTCTTTTGGTAAACTGGAACAGATCCTAGCTCATCAAAGTATCAATTTTATGAAATTAGACATATAAGTACACAAGTTTATAATTCTACAGTAGACAGATTTAAGAATCTTGGAGTACTAAACTTTAAGTTCTCACAAGATAACCAGTAAAGTATTATAAATGTATAGTCTTAGACTATTACAGGACTTATTTCAAATGTGGGTGGATTCTTTAGTCTAATAAATATGATTCTTATCTATCTCTTAAGTAAGTTCTAAACCTTTTTATTCGAAGCATCATTAATGAAGAGATTACTTTACTAAAGCAAATAGCAAATAGAGAAAGTTTAGTTTAATAGAGAAAACAAAATTAATAATGAAAATTAAGGAATTCGAAATTTATCCATCAATTCAGAATTAGGTAATTAGAAAATAAGTAATAAGAGTGTTTTAAGTGAAGATCAAGATAATATTAATATCAATGTGAAACCACAAAAATCAGGTTAATCTAATTAACCTATTAGGTTGATAACTCATTAAAATTCTTTATTAAAAACTAAGATAAGTCAACTACCCTTATTAAAATAAAACTTGAAAAATCATATAGAGTTCTAGACTAAATTTAGAATATCCTGCTATGAATGGTTTCAATTTTATTTCACTTGGCTGATGTGTTGCTGCAAAAATAGAAGGTCTAAGCTTTCTCAGCTTAGCGTAAAGTATCAACGAGCTTAGGAGTTACTTTACAAAGATTTGGATATATATGAGAATGTGAAATTGATGAGAG